CGCCATATAGAGCCCCAACGGCCTGCAGCCGATACCGCTGTTACTCCGGGGAGGTAGAATCCCAGGTAACTCAGTATGCCCCAACAGTCCCAACTGGTCCACCCTTACCACTCTGTTTCGGTATSAGAATAGCATGTWGCRTTCGCTGTGAGTCTCCACTRTCGACAGAGAGCCGCTGCGRCACGTTGACGCCGAYGTAAGAATATAGGACCGGAGTGATCATGAACCAGGCCTATTACCGCGACGTAGCCGATTTGGACCAGATCAGTGTTACACACCAAGACTTGCCATAGGAGCATCGTATCAGCATCAGCCATGAGGTTATACCACACCAGCGCCAGGAGTGACGAATCTGCAGTCGTACCAGTCTTGGGCCGCCGCACCGACGCTAATTATGAAGTTCAGAATTGCAACAATCCGCACCGTGCCAGTGTCGTCCCTGATCCGAACCTGAGTCGACCCGCTGCTATAGTTCCGGACCTGTCGTAAAATGCTGTAGCAGTTCCGGACCTGAGAGTTAATCACCGCGGGAGCCTTAACCAGCGCAAAACCTGAAATAAGCTCATGCCGAACCCACACCGAGCCTGAAACAATTGCTGTAATGGTGCCGGTTCCGAACCCGAACTGAGCTACCACGGTGGTTCCAGACTTGAAAATAAATCACTACGAGGGTTCTGACCCTGAAAACGAGACGCCGTAGTGGCCTCATGCCTGAAACACACTGACGCCGGCCCCATACCGAACCAGAAATATCCCGCTGCAGTGGTTGGAGGCCTGAAGATAAATCACCGCAGAGGTTCCAAACCTGAAATAGATCGTCACAGTGGTCCCGGATCTGAGAATAAATCACCGCAGAGGTCCCGAACCTCATATAGATCGTCACAGTGGTCCCAGATCTGAGAATAAATCACCGCAGAGGTCCCGAACCTGATATAGACTGCCGCAACRTTTCYGGACCTGAAAACAAATTGTCGTCAAGGTTCCAAACCTGGAATAACTGTCGTAGTGGCCCCGATCCTGAGAATAAATCACCGCASCTATCCCAAACCTGAAAATAAGTCACCGTAGTGAAACAGCTRTCACCGGGCCCATACCGTACCTGAAGCACGTCAGAYACCGTAGGACGTAGCCACTCCGTAACATCCCTCGTACCYGCACCGAACCAAACATCATAGTCGACCCAAGGTAGCACCTGTCCATGCGTCTCTCGCTCTCAGAACATCCCAACTGTGGTAGTGTTAGTAATCAAGCAAACCAGCGAAAGCRAYGCAGGGAACCTCRACCATYGGCAGTAGTGAAAACTGTTAAAATCCGGGGAAAATGTTCAATCCAGGGTCAGGGCTGATGGCGGGTAATCGAGGCGAAATTAGGCCAATCTCCCAATAATCATGGGTTCCCGTCCCTTTCATCATTTTTCATCATTCTTCCCTTTCCTTAATTCTATTGTCGGAAATAGTWAATCAACTGTAAGTYCCCMAAAATTAAAWTCCGAGAAARTTYAAATRAATGGCCKAATTCCTTCTGTTTCTTTTCTTTTTTACCATTTTTAATCTCTTTCTTATGTTTTTAATTTCATTGCCGGGAATCATAAAATAATAAGGGTAAACCCCCTTGAATTAAATGCCGTGAAAAATAAAGAAATTAAGGGATATTATGTTTTCTCTTCTCCTGCACTGGTCTTAATCCCTCTTCCCCATCTTTAGTTAGGGTACTAAAATAGACAAAAAAATTGAGGCCTTATTTTGACCGAGGTCATATGCTGCAAAAACGTTGCAGCGGGGTTAGTCCCCGCGATGCCCCCTTGCGGCCGACCATTCGAGGCCTAGCCTCGGATCGGGCTGAAATGATGGTCCCTAGATATGCCGGGAGCAGCTACCCATTTTGCCATCCCTGAGGGTTACTCGTAAGGTTCAGTGCGCCCAAATCCAGGGTGCCCCGAGTTCCCCTAATTTTTGTTGCCTGGTCATACCAGAGTAACGTCAAAACACGGACTTGTCCCTGAGCCTAAGTCCCAAAACCGCAGATTTCAGGCGGCGCACTGCTTGTGGCCGCCTGACAGTTAGCCTGGACTACTTCTCGACGCCCCCGTCGAGCCTTATTCACTTACGTCAAACGAAGCGGACGAGGTTCAGGGTGATTGCCCGTAAAGGACGCCCATGTCGGCGTTCAATTGTCTTATGTTTCAGTTCGTTATGAGTTCTGGGACTAAGAAGACACTTCTTGACTCCCCTTTTTCTTCGGAAATTTGGCCTGGAAAGGATTCTCTCTCTCTTCTGATGTCGGCCCGTGATAGGTGCCGACTCGTCAGCTTGTCTAATACGAACTCTCCGTCTGGCTCTCCTGAGCACGAATAACCACTTCTTCCTCTTTCCCATCGCCAACCCTTTGACCTTTCTTTTCTCTACCTTTTTCCTCTTCTTGGAACTTTCTCCCGCCTCGTATCGCCTCGAGGGAGTTCCATCCCCCATTTTGGCCTTCCCTTTCCCTTTCGGGCCTGTCAGCGATAAGGTTGGTGCAGGTCTGGGTCTAAACAACTTCAACCTAGCACCTGCCACTGGGTCCTTCCACTTGGATCCGTCTAATTCCGCTATCATATATGCACCCAGTCGAGTGCCTCAACCACTCTGTAAGGTCCCATCCATCTGTTTGCGAGTTTTCCGGTCCAAGTCCTCTCCAGTGCTGCGTCGTAGAGAAGGACTATATCTCCTATGCTCACCCTCTCCTTTCTGATCCGCACGTTCTTATCCCATCTATTTTTACCTTTGTCCCTTTCCACTGCCAGACGATCTGCCGCTGTTATAAGGTTGTCTTCCAAGCCGTAGGCTATTTGTCTTGTTCGGGCAGCTATGAGCTCCTCTCGGGACATCTCCTCCGCCCAGTCAATGGTCATCCAACTGTCGATGTGAAATTCTATGGGGAGCGGACAATGTCGCCCAAACCACAAGGTGTAGGGTGGGTACCCAGTGCTAGCCCGGACCGTGACGTTGTCCGCCCATATCGCATATCGAAAATACCGTGGCCAATCACTGTCCTTACCTTTGCACCACTTGGATAGTGATGCTATCAGAGTCTGATGCCCCCTCTCTACTGGGGAGTTCGACTGTGGGTGGTAGGCTGTGGCCATCGAAACTCTCGCCCCGGCTCTCTTGAACACACTCTGAACCTCGTCAGCTAAAAACTCAGACCCTCTGTCCATCACTATCTTGCTGGCGCAACCATACCTAGATAAGTACTCCAGGACGAAGTTCTTCACTTCTGCCGTCTTACTCCTGATAGGTCTACCGTCCACGAACCCAGTGAAATCGTCTCGTATGTTCACGACGTAGTTCATATTGCCTATTCCTTTCGGCATCTTCACCAGATCGATGTGTACCTTCTCTCCTGGTCTGGTGGGATAGGATGGATGGAGAGGCTCTTTGTATTTCACAAGAGCTCTCTTCTGGCATTCCTCGCAGGTCATGCAGTACCTCTCGACGTCCTTATACTGTCCTTCCCACCAGTACAACCTGCGTACCTTTTCGTAGGTTCCTTTGACTCCCCTGTGTCCTCCGACTACCCCGTCGTGAAGTTCCGCAACTATCGCTTGTCTCTCCTCAGGGTCACAGACTACTCGTAAGGGCATCCCCGAGCCGACCGGCCTTCGAAATAGATGGCCGGCTCTGAGGCAGTACTGTGCCGCTTGTCTCCGGATATCTGATTCTTGACTCTCCTCTCCTGACAGGTGTAGCCCAATCGTTCGGTACTTGCCCTCGTAAAGGTTAACCAGAAATCGTTCGGCGTGCCTCGGCTCTGCCAATGTCAGGGCCCCAGCTACTATCGGGCGCTCGGCCTCAAGAGGGATGCGCGAAAGCCCATCTGCCACGGCATTTTTAGTGTCAGATATCCTCTCAACTGCGTAATCATATAGCCGAATCCGTATCAGCCATCGAGCAATGGTTGGGTCCGTCAGGCTAAAGTCCTTCTGGAGGACAGAGGCAACCGCTGTGGGATCTACTCTCAAGATGAACCGACGCCCATAGATATAGTGTCTGAACGTGTCCAGACACCGCAGAACGGCCAACACTTCCTTCTTGAATTGACTGTAGTTTCGTTCTGCCGTATTAAGTGTCCTACTCTCAAACCTTAACGGCCTTTCCTTTCCTTCAGCGTATTTCTGAAACAGCACCCCTCCAACTGAACAAGGTCCAGCATCCGTGGATACTATGAAGGGTCTCTCAGTCTCATCGTCAAAGAATGGCACGCCCAGTACGCGTCCTCCCTCCTTAATTTCGTCTTTAAGCTCTTGCATAGCGAGTTCCTGCGAGAAATCCCAGTAGAATTTTTCAGTCTTTCGAAGGAGTAACCTCAATGGCTTAGCCTTCTCCGCATACCCCCGTATGAATATACGTCAGTAACCGACCACTCCCAGAAACTGTCGGACCTCGGTTGGACTATGTAACGGTGACGGCCAGTTCAGGAGTTTGTCTAACTTCGCCGGATCTGCTCGGCGTCCTCTCGAGTCACAGATAAAGCCCAAGATCTTAATAGTCGAGACGGCCCATCGGCTCTTTGTTCCGCTGACCGTTAAATTCACATCGTCCAGCTGCTCGAGTACCGCGCAAATATCCGTTAGGTGCTGCTCGACAAATCTTTTAACTCCTGGTACAACCTCGGTCTCATCCTTCTTTACTGGCCCCTCAATAGGAAAATCATCCAGAAAAACTTCAACCTTATCAAGGATGAAGTCCTTGAGGACGGCTACCATGACTCTCTGAAAAACGGCTACCCCATTAGTCCAACCCATAGGGACGACCATCGTCTGTATCAGTCCCAATGGCGTATGCATAGCCGTGAGGTGTCTGTCCCTAGGATCAAGCGGTACCTCATCATACCCTGATAACAGATCACAGACCGAATAAATCGACCTGCCCGCGGCGCCTTCAGCCAGTAAATCGGCGTATGGCACGGAGCCCACGTCTCGTATCGTCACCGCGTTGACCTTCTGAAGGTCCTAGATCCATCAGATCTTGCCATTCGACTTTCGTAGGAAGAACCATCGATTAGCATAAGCGCTATCAGACGGTTCCGCAACATGGGAAACCATCTTTTCCTTCAGGAAAGCGATAACTTCTTCCTTCTCCTTCTAGGCGTATTTTCATCCTGCGTCATTCCAAGGAACATGTGGAATCGTGTAAATCCTTGCTGGCTTAGCGTATCGAGGGTCAACTCTACCGCGCTCTACGTCACTGAAAGCTATAGCCTTATCGCATGTCTTCAGGACTTCTACCACACGTTCTTGCTCCTGTGGGGTTAGATTTCCATCTCCGATGTCCATCCCTGCTATTCTCTCTTCCGTTAGGCGTTGCGACTCTTTTTTCTTTCTTTCTTTGATTTCTTTGGCGATCTCTTCTTTCGATATCCCTTCCAGTGCCGATCGCTCGCGGCCCATCGCCGCTGGCTTAACCTTTTGAGCTACTCGCTTGTGTCGCTTGGGTAGCCCCCCATAGGGGGCCGTGCCCTTAAAAAAGACACAGATACCACCCCGCCAAATTCCTCATCTGTCTCCTTTTGGTACGAGTTGCCGTCTACTATCAGCCGACTCCCCAAATCTTCCACTTTCACGATCCGACCTTCGTCCTCTACGAAATCGCACCGCGCGGCCAGAGATAGGTAATGACTTAATCTGATCACTGGGTCTTGCTCCCACTGCGAGAGCTGCTTTGTTCCTCGGGTCCCGAGGCTCCACCGTTTCAATCATGACCCGCGTCCCATCTAGCTTCTTAATGGACAATGTCTGGCTCCCATCTGGTAGACTCTATCGTCACCGCATGCACGTGGCTCAACCACGTTCGTCCCAAGAGCAGATCTGAGCTGCAGTTCTTGACTGCAAAGACGGACACGGTCACTCGTACCCCTTGGACCTCTATGACTGCGTTGTGACAAACCCCAGTGATCTGTTGCTTTCTCTCATCAGCAGTCTCTATCTTGAATAGGCGTGACCTATCGAGGCTCAGTCCGACCTGTACTGCCAGATCCTCGTCTATAATGACAGCCTCACTGCCGTTATCGATCACAGCATCTAGTACCGCTCCATCGTTTATGATCGTCTCCACGGCCCCACTACCGAGTATGTAAAACTTGTCTGGAGGCACACCTTCCATCCCATCAAGACGGACTGTCGCCATGCGATCCGCTCTGGCAGTCACCCCCGTTACTGCTACGGTAGGAGCTTCCGCCTTAGGGGCCCCTTGAGCCTCCTCTGATAGAGGTATGCGAGTCTTCCGCGTGATCATCTGCAACTCATCGCGAGCCGGCTTCGATGCCGCCAGGTACTCCAGAATAGAGCACTGCATGGGCTGCCGAAGGGTCCGTCTCTGTGGCTCGACCGTGTCAATCTCATCCAGCGAACTCTTCATCAAGAACTTCTTTACTCCCCGCTTTTGCGGCGAAAGAATAACCTCTTCTCCATCGATCCGCTGTCCGCCGTCCTTCTCCGCCATCACGTAATCCGTGTCAGTCTTCTTCGATGTAGACCCTCTTGCGGACTTGGTAGCTGCCACCCTTATGGGTGTGGTCGCCATATCTCCTTCGAAAGTTATCTTGATGCTCTGGCTCCTAACCGGCTCCTTTCCTTTACTCGGCTTTACTCTCCTTGCTTCGATATTCTCCTTCATCGAGGGGAACATTGATACGTCTCCCAGATCATCTGCCCATTTGACGTACTTGCGGTCATTAAGCACGACAAGGCTTTCATCTATTGCTCGTTTGAGATCTAGGCAATCTCTCTTGATATGATCATCCCCCCTGCAGTAAACGCAAGAGTTCCTGGGTGTGGGTGGCCTGTCGTCTGCGCCTCTGGAGGTCGAACCTCTCACGGCTCTTGGGTCAGGGGACTTCGGATACGGGTTAGCCGAAGCGCCATATCCCCCTCTCTCATTCCTGCCGCGCGAATCATTGCGACGGTCTCCGTATTCGTATCGCCCGCGTGAATCATCGCGTCGGTCTCCTCGGTCGTATCGGCCGCATGAATCATCACGTCGGTCTCCTCGGTCGTATCGCCTGCGTGAATCATCACGTTGGTCTCCTCGGTCGTACCGCCCGCGTGAATCATCGACCCGATCTCGTCTCTTATATCTGCCACCCTTGTATCCGTCTCGATCCGATCTCTCATATATGTCGTCTCTATGCCCATCACGGTCCGATCTCTCATATCTACCATCCCTGCATCCATCTCGTCGGCCCTGATCCGACTCCCACCGGCCTCGAGAGTCACTTCTACCCCCGTCACGCTCATAACGAGCGCTACGCGAGTAGTCATCCAGTCTTCTAGCACACCCATACATCTCGCGAGTCCTACGGTCCCGGTCTATCTCATCATCCCTACGTCGCCATGGCTCATCGTCTCTCTCCCTTTCCCTTGTACGATAATCAGTCAGTGTTCGAGGATTTCTATCCTCGACACTCCTCCAGGAATCAGTGTTCATCCGATCCCAGCGAAGTGAATAGGGCCCTCCGGGCTTGTCCCGGTATGCCGTGGCTCCTGTGGTGGTTACAATTTCTGTAACATGTCTTGTCAATCCCTTTACCATGTCCCTTATCTCCTTCACTTCTTCGGCCACGGCTTCATTCTTCTCCGACCAGGGATGGTCCTTGAAATCAGGACATCTATCGGTGGCATACTCCTTGTAGAGGGAGAAGTCACGCCGCCTCATCCCTCTCCACACCAAGTCCCTGTAGTCATCTGCCTCTGCCTTTATCGCGAGACTTCTAGGAAGTCAAGCTTGTCTCGCGGAAGATCTCTAAGTATACTCTTTTGTCTACCTTTGGACAGGTGGCCGATGAAGATAGTACAGCGCTCGACCTTTGAGATCTTCCCTTTCTTCATCAGCACGTCAGAGATCTTCTGGAAACACATCCCAAATGCCCGTACGCTTTCATCTTCATCTTGAGTCATCGTCTCAAGGTCTTTGATGGAGTACTTGTTATCCTCCAATTTGTAAAGCTCAACGAGGTTCTTCTTGTACGTAGTCCATTTCCCATCCTTTGGTTGAGCTTCCTTAACTTCCCTACCGAGACCACTGACTCCGACTTGCATGAAGCTCCCACTTCTCCAGATATTATGTGATGCCATAATCCCTAAAAGTAGCTGGCTCAGAGGCCTTGTGCGTAATAATATAGCGATCCTTGCTCTCGTAAGGGACCGGATGTGACTCCCCTGTCTGGGGGTCGAAGACTCGCCTGGGCGGCCCCCTGTCTCTATCTCTGTCCCTCCAATAGGAATCCCTCGAACTCTCTCGTCAGTCGTCTCTGTGCGTATCCGCCATGGTCTCCCTCCGCTCATACTCGGGGGAGCGTTGTCTCGTCGCTTCTCGTCGACCGCTCAAGGTTCCCGTCTTCAGTGCCTGCTGCGGCTCCATGACGACTGGCTCGCCCATTACGTCGCGCTCTCCGTCATTGGTTTGGTCAGCCCATCTCAGCGGTGCTTCCCGCCTAATTCGTTCCTTCAGATCCCTCAGAGCTCGGTCGGGTGATGTCATGTACTCCTCCCCCACTTCACTTATGGTTGGTTGTGGCCCCATCGCGTCTGGTTCCATAGGCCACCTGAAGACGCAGTTAGGCACTCTTGCCGGGTGTTACAGCCCGGACTTATGACAGTTGCTGCAGCCCGGACCTGTGACGGAACTCGCAGCCCGGACCAGTTTCCTTGTCACGGTTCACGCTCGTCTCCAACCCTAGCTCTCGACTGCCCTGATTACCACCACCAGTACTCGGTTCCGGTCGCAGATCTCGTGATCTCCCTCTATCCCAAGAATCCCTGTGTCTAGGTAAACCTCCCCTTCGGGATCGGCTTACAAGGCCGCGCCTCTCCGAATCTGGAGTACACCCGTGACAGGATCTCTACGCCTGCGGCAAATCGCAGTCCCAAGCCTAGCCAATGTCTCCTGATCAACTCCCCTCAAGAGCCTCCGTGCGTCTATCTCCGTCCTCCTTGCTAGGTTTCCTAGCCCGTCCTGAATCGGGTAGCCTGCCAAAGGAGGAAGCTCCCCTCCTACTGCCATCCAAAGTCGCTCGTCATCCTTTCTAGCTCCCACTATCTTTCCAAGAGCTTTCAATCTCTATTTCGCCTCCTTCAACTCCCAGACGGCTATAAGGTCATATGTCTAGCATCTGAGGTAAGTCAGTGCTATAACCACTCGTAACCTGATCGCCGACAGCTCCAATATGTCATAGAATGTCTCAAAATCCTCTTCATCTCCACTATCTTCTATGGCCTCTAAAGTCTTTATCGACTCCCTCCAATACCGATCGTGAGCAGCTAGCACCCTGAGTATTGCACCGTCTGTCACAACTCTCCCTAGCTCTCCAGCTTTCCTGGCTTCGCTTATCTTCAACTTTTCAGCCTCTCTGGTCGTCTCGTACCATGCCCTTATCCGCGACCGCCCTTCGAAAGGTGTTACTCGGAGTACGTATTTTATCCTCCGTCCTCCTATTCCAATCCACAGTCTGGTCCCCCTGGCCTCACGCAACGCACGGCGGACACACTCTGCCTCCTCAACTATGCACAGTCTGGTATGGAGCTGGAGCTCTACGATCACTAACACCAATGGTCCGTCCAATCTCCATACCACATGCAATGAGTACCGATCCGTCGTGTGCAGTGCAGTCCCGCTCATGTCCTGTCGCTACCTCCCTGCATTACCTCGTCCTCCGTTGTCACGCCCTCTGCAGACCTCTCAGTAGTTCCTTCGCGTGATACGCTTCTAGCCTTCACCCTCTCCAGAAAGTCTGATCTCCACGCCTGGATAATCTCTCTTTCCTCCATATACAGACTCTCAAACTCTCTCGTCACGAGCTCAGCCCTACGCAATTTGCTCTCATCCTGGCACGACCAGATCTCCCTTAACTTGTTCCCCAACTCCTTTACCTGGTTCAAAAGCGGTTCTTTAATGCGCTCTCTCACCCTTCCGACAGCATCACTCTCCTCTTCCATACTCATTCTTCATCTTTTTCCAGCTCATCCTCTCACCCTTGCTCTAGCCTCCGCTACCGTCTCGTCGTGGAAGTGCTCCGCACGCATATAGTCATGTGACCATATCATCACCTCATAGGAAATCGAGGTCTGAAAGGTCACTCGCGCCAGTATATCAGCTCTATGCTCGTGGATCAAATCTCTGGCTCGTTGCCGACACTCCCCCGCCGTCAAGTCTTCTTCTACGTACGCTCGGAGAAGTATTGTCAGAGTGTACCCTGTGCTTACTAGTTGCTCTCCTACACGCATCACTGTGGCCGTCCTCCCCGGCATTCCCTAAGCTGCGGCCTCGAAGAGAAACCTCACATCCTCTAGCCCCACGTAATCGATCTCCGCTCGTCTCCTGCAGTACCTAATCACGATCACTCTGGCCAACGACTCGCTTCTCCACCAAGCCCTGCTTGCCCCTGCAAGTGTCAGTCCTATCTCTGAATCGTGTACTCTATCCGCTATCAGATGTCCGACCCTTTCTAGATCATGAGTCCTCTCGGGTCGTTCGTCTCGTAGTATCACTGTCCAAAGGAAGAGTCCCTCTGCGAGCCACATTCCCAAGTATCGTATCGGAACACGCCCTGTCCCTTCTAACGCCACAGGAAGTGGAATGTCGTATCCAACCGCCGTCTCTCTGGGTCTCACAAGCTTCCTCACGCTATACGATTCGGACTCACGTGAGAGAACATAGGCTAACCAGGCTACCGTGTCACTCCTCATCCCGCCTCCGACTCTCGATCAGCATYASTCTACTCCCTCCGTTGCACCCTATCTCTCGAAGTTGCTAACTCCTCAGACAACTCTCCCACTCAGGTCCAGTATGGTCGAGTAGGTGCTGTGCGCTCTCCCGTCTGCTCCATGGAAGTAGATAGTAAACTCGACGTACCTCTNAGGTCCAGTATGGTCGAGTAGGTGCTGTGCGCTCTCCCGTCTGCTCCATGGAAGTAGATAGTAAACTCGACGTACCTCTGGCTCCTCCGTATCTCTAGGGCATGTTCCGTCATGAGTCCGATCTGTCGCTCAACAATCTCTAATGCCTCTCCTTCCCAGCCACCCGTCCTATCTCGTCGCAGGGAAAGAGTCACCCTCAGTATATCCCGGTCTGCCATACTCTCCACTACTCCCTTCTCTATACCTCACTCGGATATGTCCTGCCTCTAGTTGTCTCATGCATCTGGCATATCCTCATCTGTGTCCTCATCTACCCTTTGCCCCCATGGGATGTCCTCCTGCCCCTCGGCCTGAAGGAGATGACCCCAACCGTCCTCCTGCGGCGCCTCTCCACCTACCTGCTCTTGTCGCTCAGCCCGCGCCAGATCTCCCCAGTCCTCGTCCTGGTCGCCCCAGAGGTCTATGTCATCGAAGTCCTCCCAATCCCGATCCTCGGCGTACCACGCAAGATCGTCAGCCTCTGGATATACCTGCTGGTAATACTCCTCAGCCTCCCCGGTCGAGATGAGATGGCCCGACCTCTCCTCACGAGTCTCGGCTAGCAGCTGTCCCTCACTTGCTAAATGATCAGTTGGCCTCCGAGCCTCTCTCTCTAGCGTCGTCCAATACAGGTCTGAGCTCCCGGTAGGTACAATGGCCCGCAGGAACTCAATCAACTGGAGCCCTCGCTCGCCTACAAGCGGCCCCGCTACAAACTGCGCATACAGCACTCAGTCTCTGTCAGCGTACCCTCGGCAAAGGCCGTCCAAGTCAAGAGCCGCAAAGTAGATCTCACCCAGACGTCCAAGTCCCCAAAGCTCCTCCGCCACGAAGCACGGAAGTGTCACACGCAGTCGACTACTAGGATATGGGAAGTGTCCTCCAATCCTCAAGGTCGTCGTCACTCCCCGAACACCCCCTTGCAGCCGCTCTACCTCGCCCCGCGCGGAGTCTGCTCGGGCCAGTAAAATCCTCTTCGCGCTCTGCTCCTCTCGCCAATGATCGTGAACGATGCCGTGAAAATAGACTGTGGCTAGCACCTCCCGTGAGTAGTAAATGTGGCCCACTACCTCTATGCTAGTCGTGCCTGGTCGTCGCCACCTTTGACTGTCTAGGTCAAACGTCTCGATGACATACGTCCACAAGTGTACGTCTAGGCCCAACACCGTCGATGACCATCGGCTCTCTATCGCATCCGCGGAAACCCCTCTGGCCGGCAGATCCAGCGCCACCTTGCCTGGCGCTACTGTCTCTGGAGGTCTAGGCCATCTAGCGTCGTCGATCTGAAGCTCCACTCCACTGGCCTGCTCTATCATCGATCCGCTCTCCACTATCCGCCGATATCAGTAGCTAAGCTCACTCAACCGCCGCTCTAATGTGCTCCTCTGCCTCCTACGCCCGGACGGCTACTCCTATCCTAGGGAAGTGGGCGTCCGTAACGTCGATCTCCTCCTCGTCAACCTCACTCTCTGGGTCGACCCAGTCTGGCTCCCAAGCGTCCTCGTCGTCCTCTCGCTCCCAACCCTTGTCGTCAAACTCGTCCTCGACGCGGTATGGGGCCTGTCCTATAGCCTGGTAGTACTCCGCCAACTGATGGCCGTGTATCAGAGGTCGCCCGACGTCCTCACTCCACCAGCTCCCCCAGTCGTTTGAGAAGAGCCGTCCAATGCAGGTCACGTACTCAGGGCCTGCTCGGAGCTCACGGTCTAGCCAATCCCAAACGCACGGAGACTGGGGCCACTCGTCGTCTATCGAACGGATCAGCTCTGTAAGCTGAACCCTCTCGTCACCCCAGCGAAGCCCACCGG